AATCATTGAGTTTTGAAACTCTTGGTATTATATTTACTTGCTCAGAGTATGACTCCCACAAAATTAAATTGAAACTGCAAGAACGACTGGTACGAATGGCATTCTGTTCTTTCTGGACACTGCAACTCGATAGCTGTAACGAAAAGTAAGCATAAATCCACGGAGGAAAATGTGGGACAGGTTGTCCCTTCTTTGTCAATTGCACACTCCTTTGTTAGGTGGTTTGGCACTTGAGGGTAAGGAGGCTCAACTCTTTTGTGGGTATTGCCTCATATAACAAATCTTTGGAAATATAGCTCTAAACCATTGGAAACAGAATTTAACACAGTCAATGTTTCTCTTTTTATTAGAAAAGTTTAATCAACTTTTCCAAGTGTGATTTAAAATAAGTGAGGTTTTTGAATATTTATCCAATTGACATTGATCTTTGAGTTACAGATAGGGCTGTAAAAGAAAGCCAAATATCAGCTTTCCTTTTGTAGGACGACTTAATGAATGTACTTGAATGATCAAAAGCATTCGAATAAGTAGGGCAGCCCTTGTAAGATTAAAAAAAATGAAAAGAGTTTGAGGACTTACTACCTGAATTATCTGATGAAGAGACTGGCACATTTAGAGAGATAACTACGTTACTATGGTGTGAAGAATCCAGACCACATGGGATAGAATGGAAGGCTAGCTCATCAGCAGCCTGGATAATTTAGTTAACCAGTGCTGACTTCGCAGTGAGGTAATGTCATAGATAAGAATACTTAGTTCTAACTGTGGAATAGTTCCCAGGCAGCAATTTGCAGAATTGTTTGGTATTTCTGAAGATAAAAGATGACGTAAGAGACTTGCATGAGACAATTATATGGGNAATCCCATGGAATCATCTGACTCCCTACAGGAAAACACTGATTGGTATTAATTTTCACCCCTTCCCTTTTGATGCTGAAGTAGACTGAAGCACTTCCTGCTTTTCTAATATAGTCTTTTTCTGCCCACCTTTTCCCCATCCCAAATGATCATAGCATTTCCAAATGTAAGGGGCTAGTTGTGAAAAATGAAGGAATAGAGTCCTGTTACAAGCTCAAATGTCTAAGGAGCCCAAGTGGGAAACATAAATGTGCTTTAGTAAAATCTGGATGTGTTGATTAGTGGTGGCTTCAGAATTTAAATAGCCTTGGTAGGTTGAAACTAGAAGAAATTTTCCTCCTCTTCATGCACTTTTAGCTAAGTAATGGAAGAGCAAACAACTTTTAGACTGATCTCAAAGTTCATTAAAGCTGCTTAATTATAGTCTGGAGCATTTGAATATATATTTCAATTTGATTTGAAATGGCATTATAAAATATTTCTGTTATGCCAAACTCAGAAAAACATAAAACAGCATATAGACAATTATTTTTATATCCTTGTTAAAACTGTAGAGAGCTTTTTGTTTTTAATTTTAGCTTAGTGTGTTTAAGATACTCAAATCTGTGTTTTATTCCCAATGTTAAAATTTACTTGGCCTAATTTAATTATTGTTTTATTTTTAGGTTTAGAATGACTTTCATTAATCTTTTTTCACCCCGAGACTTTGTCATTGTCAACATAGAACAAAAATCATTGAGTTTTGAAACTCTTGGTATTATATTTACTTGCTCAGAGTATGACTCCCACAAAATTAAATTGAAACTGCAAGAACGACTGGTACGAATGGCATTCTGTTCTTTTTGGACACTGCAACTCGATAGCTGTAACGAAAAGTAAGCATAAATCCACGGAGGAAAATGTGGGACAGGTTGTCCCTTCTTTGTCAATTGCACACTCCTTTGTTAGGTGGTTTGGCACTTGAGGGTAAGGAGGCTCA